TGAAATAGATCACACTGAAATAAAACTCTTATGTCATATCTTTACTCTGCAATAAATTTGATACAAATTATGATAGAATAGAAAGAAAGAGGGGAGAAAGATTTCTGTCCGAGAATGTAATTATATAGGATATAAGTGCCACCAGTGATAGATCATATTCTTTAGAAAAAATAGTCCTATTATTAATCGCACAAAAATTTTAAGATATGTTGTCTATATTGTTTCTAGAACGCTCTTCTAATCAACGATTGTTGTCTCTTTTTTTGCATTAAAATATGAATCGCTTCTTTTTCATTGATGAGTGCGGGATAAGTAAAATAAACTCGTGTACTAACGGTGTATTGGACAAAAAAGTGTTAAAATTAGAATTTTTCGTTGAGATCACCAAAAAATTTGACTTTTTGTTAGAGACATAATAGAAGACCAACCTTGTGACTTGTGAATGACAAGACAGAATAGAAGATCTGGGGTCTTCTAATGTGTCGAGAACTTTAAGACAAAAGTTTAGTTAATTGTAGATCAATTTTCAGTAAGGTATTTTCCCTTGCCTTCACTTAAAAATCGATCTTGAGTCAGGTACACACAAATCGCATGAAATTTTTAGTCGAATGTCATGATATTTTTAGAAAAACTTTCAGCAAAGAAGGGCCAAAAATAGCTAATAAAGCAATCTAAAATTTTATGTGAGCCTTTGTTCTAAATATATAATTTTTTATGCTTGAAAGAGCTTGTTTGGATGCAGAGCATTGCAAACTTCTTTTTTAAATTGTTAATTTTTAAGCGAAGAAAATGGATGAAAAGCTCAGTGTCTGCAAAAACTAACACTTCAATTATAAATATACTCTTTTATATAATAGTAATAAAGCTAAATTAAAAAAAAAAGAGACTCTGTCATGACAAGCATCTTGACTTGCTCTTTCAAATCAAAACAAAGCTATTGATTAGCATGAAGCTTTTCCAAGAATTCTTGTGTGCGTGATTGAAAAAAAGCAAAAGTCTATAATTCACTTCGGGTCTTTTATTTGTGTAAAATAGCACATACTTGAATAGTTAAGTTTTTCTTTGAATTAATGATCAAAGTGTCGCGTTACATTAGGAAAGTACATTCAAGTCAACAGATCTTTTTCTTCTCATGATATTAAAAAGGAAACGAAGACAATTAATGTTTATCATAATATCCGTTTCATTACAAAAGAATTATATTATATAAAAATAGTTTAAGCGAGCAATGGACAGATAAAAGGACTAGTCATGACGATACATCTAGTCTAGTCTTTTTGTCAAAAACTTCTACTGCATGACTAATCTAAAATTATTTGTAATTCACAATTCACGTACTGCCTGCTTTATCGACTGTTTATGATGACTAGTCTTTTTGAGAAAAACACTGGACATGTCTTAACGTTCGTCTAAAGCGATTTAAAAAAAAAAGAGAGCATTGACAACGTTTCATATGACAAATTGCAGTCTTACGTACTGATCAAGTCTGGAATAGTCGATATGATAGAAGCGTAAGAAAGAAGGTTAGATCCTATTATACATTCTAACATTCAATTTTATACGATTCTATTCAAAAGCCACTCTTTTTTTTCACATCATGATTGAAGTTTATTTCAATTTTAAATTTTCACAATTCAAACTGAAAGTAAACTGAAATTATATAATTGACATGTTCTTAAATTAAAATCATTAGAATCTATATTTAAACTAAAATGAAATTATAGTCTAAAGATATTAGAATCATTTTTACATAAAATTGTTTCTAATCTACATTACAATCTAATAAATTTTAAATAATATTAACAGGCAATTTTAGTCGAGGAGCAATCCGATTTCTTTGTATTTTTATGTAGGCCTTCATGTTTCAATAGAATTTTGTACTTTTAGCATAAAAAGTACAGATCTTTACTTTCCAAAGAGATATTGAGTGAACTCATTGAAATGCAGCAAACAAAATTGCAAAGTTGTAGATCGATCATGGTGAAATATATGAAAACATGGCTTTGTTAAATATGTAAACGACGTTTCAGACTAGTCAACTTGCTTTTCTTTGAGTTAGTCTCAATTATATATCGAATGAATTACCATCATTCTGCTATTTAGACTATTTTATAATGATAATCTGTGAATATCATTAAATCATAGTTTGCCATTAAAAGGCTCCAATCGAAAACACTACAGGTCTCGAAGGATAGTATAAATATTTTAGACTAGTCTTGTTAGGCGGTTTCACTTAACTTTTTTGCTTACTTGAAGTATAACTGCGTATTTTCTATAACATATATTTCAAGACATTTTTAGACGCCTTGCTATTATAATAATTGAATTGCAAAAAATTAATATTTAATCAATACTTTCTTCTAGATGAAATAATAATTTTTTGAAGATATAAAAAATTGCATCACTATTGTAATTTTCTTGATTCACAGAAAAGATCAGAACTATTAATTGTTGCTATAGATTCCATTCGTTAGGCTATGTTAATATGAAGCATTTATTTATTTATCACATTAACAGACTGAACATTTTATTTTCATTTTTGAATTCTATTCATAATCATTGATTTCGGATTTTTTATATAAAATTGTTTTGGTAGATTTTCATGACTATATTGATGAATATAGATTCATATGTTTCCGTGTGGAAAAGTTTGAGAATTATTATTTAGGACAAATAAAATTCATTGAAAAGCAAAAATTTGTTTTTACAATACACAATTTAGTTTTCTGATAATAAAAAAATCTAATGAAATATATAAAAAGAAAAAATAATTAACTGAATGTTTCTTCTGTACCATGCAGTGGATTTTCCGTACTAACAGTAGCTAGTTGTTCTTGTTTTCGCTTATTTCCAACACCAAAACTAATATTTCTAAATGTAAGACCACCACTCGGAGACTCATTTGCTTTTTTTTTTATTATACGTATAACAACAAAAACAGTTATTACTCCAAGTAAAATTCCTACAGCCATTCCACCAACAACTGCACCAGCTTGTGCACCATCGGAATATTGAATTTTTTCACGAATTTCTTCAATTGTTTCAACAACTGTTCGATTAACATGAATATTAGGATTAAATGTATAGAAAGATTGAACATCTTCTAAGGAGTTTCGTATAGCTTCAATTGAAAGACCATCATCAGTATTAAAGTAAAATTCACCATTATTAATACCATTTTCAAGTTTAGTTCTAGCATCAAGTAATTCAACTTCAGAATTTGGATTAACAAATGGTGTTCGATCAAGTAGAGTAAATATACAATAGAATGTATCATTATGACCTGATTGATTTGAATGATGGTCAAGTTCAAGTTGCGATATACGTAAATATTTTATTGACATAATACTTATCATTTGTGCACGAATATATTCAGTTAACCGGCGTCTAATAAAGAATAGAAAAGAAAAAATCTCTTAATAAATATGTAATTAAAAAATAAATAAATAAATATTAACCGATTAATTGAAATATTTTCAATATTATTCACTGTTGATTGATTTCGAATTTTAAGTTGAAATACTAAATGTAGATACCATAATTGATTTGATCGATAACATAAATTAACATCAAATTCATTTAAATGTACATCAGTTCGATAATCATAAAATTCATAATGAACATTAGCTGGTGGTTCATTGATGTCTCTATATAAATTTAAATTAAGATAAACTGGATAATCATACGGAGTATTATTATTATTATTATCATCATCATCATCAATATTTCGTTTAGACCATGCCCATTCAATATTTGTTAGTAGCCAATTTTCATCTGAATCGTATGGAAATTTTGACATTTGTCCAATAAGAATTGTACATAAAATTGATCCACGACATGAACGATTACCAATATATTGAAAAAATTGTTTAGGTGGATTTGAAAGAAGAATATCTTCATATTTAATTAATGTTTCAATTGGACTATGCAATATAGATGTTAATGAATTTGTTGTAATCGATTCATTTATAATACATACACCTGTACGACGATCTATTTTATATGAATGTGATGTATTTTCTGAATAATCTAATATCATTGTTATTGAATTTTGAGTATTATCAAATGGTGTATAATCATAACGAATTAATTTTCGTTCATGTGTTAAATGATAACGAAGATGAACTGAATGCCAAAGTTGTTGAAAAGTTGTAGAAGCATCAATACGAACACTAAATTTATCAGGAAATTTTATGCCAACATCTTCTAAACTTATGAGTTGATCTGTTGGAATTAAATCATTACAATATATACCTTTTGGTGGTATTAAATCAGTTTTAATTATTCTTGTTTTATAACTAAAAATATTTAATATTTCTAAAATCATTCCATTATCTTTTCGTTTTATAATACGTTGTATTGGAATAGTATAATTATTCGAATTCCAAGGCATAAGATAATTTGATTTAGTAAATGACCAAATAATATCGGAAAAATTCGATATTGATGATACCCATTGTTGAACATGTATATAACCACGTAAAGTTGTTTCACCAAGATATGTTGCATTTGATGTTAAAAGTAAAAAATTATTTAATGATCGAATATGTGTTGTATTATGATCTAGATCTGTTATACCAGAAAATCCATCAGATGAATTATCAACATCTATTGGATAGACATTACATTGTTGTAAAGTATTTCTTGAATAAATAGCTTTTTTAAGTATTGTATAATTATAATATTCAAAAGTTTGTTCACTAATTATAATAAGATAATTATTATCATAATCATAAATACATTCAACAAATGTACGTTTATGTTCACCATCCATAATAATACTTTCAATAGTAAATTCAGCTTGTCTAGGAAAACTTGGATAAGTAACATTATTATCTCCGTGAATGATGATAATTATCAAAGTAAAACATGCAACGAAAAAAAAGTAAAAAGTATACATCATTATAAGTGCTTAAACAAATGAATACAAGTATGTGTTTCGTTTAATGTTCTTATCATATTCGTAGCTTTTTTTTTATCATCATATTAAAATATTCAACATGTTTCGTAAACTATTTTCGTTTATTCTATATATACTTTTTAAAATATCTTGGTGTCAATTAATTGATTTAAATATTTGTCCTAATGGTCTTACTACTTCACCATCAGATTCACAATGGCCTAAAATATTTCCAAATCGTTTTGAAATTTTTTGTGAAATAACAACTGATGTTGAAACTTTTGAAGTTACACAATTATTTGTTGGATCTCATAGAGATATAATTTATTTTCATAATTATGAAACAAATTTACAAAGATATTATGATTTTAATACAAATGAAATATTAACTATTAGTGATGAATTAAAATGTGATCGTTCACAAATAGAATCAAATCAATATTTATCATTTATTACTAGTCAATATGTCAAACCATCGATTTTATTAGGTTTTGATGGACGGAATAATTATAGTATAGGATTTAATACACGGTATATTGGAAAAGAAATTATTCGCAGTGGAATTTCAACAAACAAATTCGAATCATGTTTTTATATAAATCAAGAAAATTTAACTATTAATGCAACTTATTATTTAAGTGAATCTCCACCAAATGAAATCCACACCAATGCGGCACCAGATCTTGTTCAAATAGATGTTCGGTCAAATAATTATGCATCTACATATAATATTATTCGTTATGTATCAAATCCTTCACTTACTATTACAACACCATCAGGTGTATACTGTCCAAATCGAATCAATACAAAAGAATTTCCAGAAAATTTACCATCGCGTTTATTATTACATGCAGAAATTTATATACCTAAGAATAATGATACTCCGTCAAGAATTGAATCATATGATCGTTTTATTGATGAAACATTAAAATTTGAACGAATCGATTATAGTATAGGCAAAATAATAACATCAACTTCTCCAAATCGAATACTTATTGATTATTTAACAAGTTTAAGCTATATGTATACACGTGAAACACAACAATGTACAGTAATGAATGCAAGTACTCATGCAATTGAAACAACAAATGAAATATTATTTCAATTCGGTGCTACTAATAATTCTATTCAATTTCAATATACTGGTTTAACAAATTGTGGACGTGAACATGTTCAATGTCATAGATGGATTGGTCAACGTGATTTAAATACATTAATTCAACAATATGAATGGTATTGGAGCGCACGATATAATGACATTGATTTGTCAGAATTTATTCCGATTAAAGTTGATATGACAACAATATATAAAACAGGATCATCAAAAACAATAACTCAAGAAGCCAGTAAGTTTATATGTATACGATTTTCTTACGAAGAATGCTGTGCTTCGGAACCAAAAATTTTCAGACTTTGTGTTTCTTTAATTTTTTTTACTTGATATGTTGATATAAGTATCGTCTATCTAATGAGTACATTTTTATCCGTGAAAACCTCCGTTTTTTAAATAAATCCACTTTATCCTTAAAAAGAAAAAACAAATACAGTTTTGTGTTTGTTTTTTTTTTTTATATACCCATGATTTTCATAAGCCAAGTTAAGTTTACTTCCAATTTTTTCCCTATGGTATGGTCTATCGGACTCAAAACTTTTTATGGGTACTTCGATCAAATTGGGATGAGTGTTTATTTCTCTCTTAAAATTATAATATCTACAAGATTTGGCAGATTTGACAAAATATTAGAATGAGTAGAGCAAAAAATGTTTTTTCTTTGATTTCTTCAGTAATCTGATTCTTTTGAGCCATAGAAACAATATTTTCTAAAAGAAAAAACCAAGCATAGTTTCAGACTTGTTCTTGATTGCCACAGACAAAATATCAAACCTAAACAACATAGTAATATTGTCGAGAAAGAAACATTGAAGTGTTTTCAATCGATGTACACTTTTTATTCTATTCATTTCATCGAAACCTATCTACGCTAAAAGTTTCAAACAGTTTTGTCCAGTCATGTTTGGTAAAACTCTGGAAAAGAAAGTTTCTTGAAAAATTAAACAATCCTTGACTAATAACAGACAACCTACATTTAAGAAAATATGAGATATTTAAATAGTATGATATTTCTTTCATATAAAATTAAGTGTAAATATCACAGGAAGAGAACAAAGGTCAATGACGAAAATTGTTGATTCGAATTGATGAATTTATTATTAGAAAAAGTCAATGTTTACAAAGTTAGATCTTCATAGTCAACCAACCAGTCCTTTATATTTTTTTTAAATTATTTTCAGAAATATAATTTTATTAAGATTTTCTTTATTTTTAAAGATATGTTCAATTATAATCCACGACCAAATTCAATGGAATCTATTGATTCAACGCTTGGTGAATGTTATAGAGCATTAGGACCAAGTCATAATTTTAATTATGCTATCCTTCGTATGATACTCAATAATGATGCTAAATATCCAGTTCATCGACATTTATTATCACTTGAAAATCATCTACATATTCAATTAGCAAATGATCTTAAAATTCGTCATATTCGTTTATCATCTTTTGTTATAGATACAACACGTGATACAACAAATCAACAAGATCAAGATGTTTATGTTACATTTATACTTCTTGATAATCCACCTGTATCATCCATTTCTCATAAAGAATTATCCTTATTAGAATTAATTCGACAATTAGCTAGACAAATAAATGATGGAAATTTTTATGTTCGAGATAATGATGGAGCTTTTGATTTACAAGCTCGACCAAATAGTCTACGAATATTAGTACTTTCTTTATTACCATCAGAAAATTATACAAATTATTTTAATGAAACAATATTTATTTATCATAATGTTACACAAACAATTATTAAACAGAATGAGAAATTAGTTTATAAATATACAGGTGCAAGAATAGCTGCTTTATGGACTGGTTTTGCTTTATTTGGTATTATTGTTGCATTAGCTGTTGGCTCTTTTATAGCAATAAGAAAATGGACACCAATTGTTAATTATTAAAGAACATGAATAATAACATGCAACATGTGAACTTAGTCGTAAATATATATTTTTTTGGTCTTGTTTATTTAAGTACAAAATTTCTTTTACTGTTTTTCTCAAATAAAGTACTATGTGTTTTTTCTAAAAAGAATATTAAACTGAAAGAATTGAAGAATTACGTAATAACGATTGTTTGAGTTTGTTAATTTGTCAAAAACCAAAACTATTCATTTCATCAAGTCTTACTGTTAATGTTTTTAATCATTTCGTCATTAGTTACAGCTAATTTAATTAATACTGATAGCTATTTTAACTATTTTGAAAAGTATGATGATATAGTTTGTTTATTTACAGATATATATATCAGTATGATACTCATAAAGATGTTGTACTGAATGTGAGTGTAGGGCATGAAGCAGAGTCTAGTCATGGCATTTTATCACAAGATTTAAACTCTAAATAAAAATAGATTTAACAATCAGTCTTTTATCTTGAATTCAAATTCTCTTATCGAAATCTATGTGTAACATACAATGAAACAGCTCGGCTTAAACAAAATCTTCTTATTAAGATAGAATATTACTTCTATTCTCCTTTTTTTTTTTATCATTTTCAATAAGCTTTCTCGAAAAAAAGACAATGGTTCGAGATCGATCCATAGAATGAATTATTTGTAAACTTTTGGCTGAAAACCGGTTAGAAGTTCACAACAAAATGCCTAAAGCAAGTCATTGAAGATGATTAAACTAGTATGAATATTTGCATAGTTTTGTAACTGTTCAATTTATAGTTCTAATAAATTTTTCGTTACTGAAACTTCATGAGACAATATTTTTTTTTTTTACAAAATTATATAATTCGCAAAAAGTGTGCAGAACCTTTGAACACAATAATTTGAAATGAGTTGCGCGTATAATAACTAACTGTTGCATTACATGAAGTTCGAATTCTACCAATAATAATCATACATAAATAGGATTATCTGAATTTCAAAAGCCCTTAGAAATATTTACCAATATGAGCGAAATCATGATCTAAATACATATATGTTTCCCAAATGCTATAGACCTAAGTCAAACATGCAAGGTTGTACACGATCGAATATGAGGAAATACGACGATTTAAAATGTCTCATATTACGATCGTATATTTCTTTGTCGTATATGAGCTTCGCATTCGTTAACCTAAGTGTTTTAAATATTTATTTTTTATAAAAGTAGAACTATACACATTATTATCTCATTTTCTGCATAGCATAAATCTTACCTGTGCGTCAATATTGATAAGTAATCTATTGTGTAAAATTTTGGTTAACATATTTAAAAACTACAACAAGTGTCGCGTCATTCTCTTCTTTCATACTATTAACTTATAATGGCACATTTAGGTTATTCTGTAACTGAAACAATTTATCATAAACATGGCCAAATTATAAAACTTGTTTATGATTATGAAGAACTGCATGAAGAGACTGAACTTGATGTATCAATAGAAGAACCAAATCTTACTCAACAAAATAGACGTTATGAAGTAACAATTATGCGTGATGAATATGAACGTATGGCTCAAACACATAAACTTGATGAAGATACTTTACCATTTGATATTTTTGTACGTATTGCACGACCAATTATGATGGGAACATATGTTGGCAATGAATTACAAGAAGTATTTAATATACTTGATAAAGATCAATTAGGTGCAATTGATATCGATGAATTATATGGTTTTTTACCAATTGGTCGTTCTAATATTACTAAGGAAACATTATTACATTATATAGGTAGTGATAATATCGACACCAAACAAAAACTTAATTTTGATGAATTTACATGTATGATATTACGTGGTATTGGACGAGATATTATATGTGGTAATATCTAGATGACTAATATTGATAATAGAGATCAAAATTCGTAAAATTCTACTCTAAAATAAAAGAATTAATTCAATATTGTAAGAAAGAAAACAATAGTCATAACATTTGAATCAAGAACGTAACAAACATTTTGTGAAGGATGATTCACAGTATATGTAGATAATTTTAGTTTTTTCTTCATGAAACTCAACTATCAGCTAATTAACATTTTCACAAGACGGATAGATTGCCCTAGAGTACAACCTTTCTATTGTAAACATCATCGAAATTTTGCAAAAGTATTGAGTTTAGAGAGTTCAAGCATGATTTGCTATAAAATGAAGAAAATGTTCCAGACCATCCACTTCTATAATAGTTTAAGATACAAGTCTGATTGTTTATTTAATTTTCCTCTGAATGATTGGAATTGAAAGGTTTTTCAAATACAACACAGACTATAATTACTTTTAAAAAAGAATCTTCTCATTTTATGTGTCTTTTAACTTTTGAAGCAATATTTTGTATTTTTCTGTACAAATCATTGATAACATTTTGATTCTGATTTGAGTTACGTAATCAATATCATTTTTTCTTGTAAAATAAGTACGTGTTCTGATCTCATTCTTTTCTTTACATATGCAACAGTCGAATCATACATAAAATGTCCTTGTATTGCGTCCGAAAAAAGGTGACAGAAAACAAAAAGAGGTCAAGAAAGTATATTCACATTAGAGCTGTGACCATGGTAAGAGGAACCGCAAAAACGATTCACTGTACAGAATAAAGACGTGTGTACTAGTAGAAGTTTTACTGGATTTGTTTTCTCAGCTATATTAAATAACCACTGCCAAATAAAAAAAACCATAAGTCTAGATTTATTGTCGACTATTGCAAAAAACATGAAACAAATATTTATCCAGATGACTTGTCAGATTTTGATTATATTTTTTTCAATATCATCTCGAAATCGAATAGTTCAATGTATTTAAATCTCAATTGTGTTCAATAAATAATGCTTCTCGATGATGCAAGCGACAAAGTCTTTCCTAGTCTTACTGTTGTATAATCGGTTGATGTGAGGTTTCGTACTGTATCAGCTGCATTTGATGGCATAAAACAAATGTTTTCATTACAACCAAATCGATTTGTTTGCTTAAAATTATCATAGATGGTCAGAACTTTTATTAGTAAATCTTGAATATTTCTTGAAAATATATAGAACCTAGAGACTGATTAACCGGTCTTTTTGTAGTATTTTGTATCGATTCAATCATATTTCACTGAATATGTCTCACTCTATCGCTTATCATATTCGACATTTATTACAAAGAGAAGATGTTCATATGCTATAAACTCGTTGTAAAAATAGTACTGTAGTCATATTGAGAAGGGTAAAACTCAAATTGAATAATTAACGGCTCCTCGCTGTATTTCTGGAAAACGATTGAACCATTCAGTAAACAAACAATCACTTAGTGACATAGCTACAATACTCTATAAACCTCGCTCGTTCTCTTTTGGAACTAAACTTTCAGGATAATATTTAGTTAGATTAAGTCGAGAGCCGAAAATTGTTTGATGTATGTATGCCAACACGGTTAGTTTCAGACTATTTCCAATAATCAATTGTTCTTACCAAAAACAAACGATATACAAATAGATGGTGTTACAAATGTACGATTGTAAAAAAGTTGTACGGGGCGTTGATTCATGGTTTTGCGGGTGCCATATCTTATTGAACTTTGGATGAAAGATTGAAAATTGAAAAGATTATTTTAGGATGTAGGATGAATATGATCGATCTGTGTGAGAAGCGTCTACACCTTCTGTCATATGATTTCATCTTCTAAAAATGAAACGAGTAAAACCTATTCCGTTCTCACTGCTTTGTAGCGACATCTTAGATGATGGATGGAAGAAAGAGAGGATAGAATTGTTGATGCTGATAACAATGGTGAAATCATATGGATGGATCTTATTCTTTGGACCATTCAAAGAAAATTATTCAAAATAAATGACTGCATAGTGAAAAGCGTATTTCAATTATTTAACTTGCTATACGAAAAAAAAGAAAAGAATTTTAATTCGTTGAATTCTGTGTCTCTGATTTGTATTTATTGACATGTGTTTATTTTATATTTAAGTTTTCTTGACATAAACACAAAATCAAGTTTTTGTTTTTTTTATTTATTTCTTCAGATGTTTTCAAAAGTAGTACCTTGGCAACGGGTATTAATATTAATAATAAGAAATATCATTTTCCTTTTATTCTGTTAAAGGTTACAAGCAGATGTTTTAATTGTTCGGGTACTGTCCTTCTTCGAAATGCTTCATCATCATCAAGCAGCAGTGGTGGTGGTAAGAACAAAACTATGAGGTTTTCTTTAAATTATTTGAAGTTTTCATATAGAACAACAATTTGATCTTGTTGTAATTGGTTCTGGACCTGGAGGATATGTAGCAGCTATTAAAGCTGCCCAACTTGGTCTTAAAGTATATTGTTCATTTTAAATTATGAACTTCTTTTTTTTAAAAATAGATGGTTTCTTTCAGACAGCATGTGTTGAAAAGAATGCAACATATGGTGGAACATGTCTTAATGTTGGTTGTATACCTTCAAAAGCAATGTTACACAATTCTCATTTGTTTCACATGGCTCAGCATGGTGAACTTAAAAAACGAGGCATTGACTGTATGTAATTATAATTTAATTTAAAATCATATATAATATTAAATTTTAGTCCAAGATGTATCACTTAATTTACCTGTATTTATGAAACAAAAAGAAGATGCTGTTAAAAATCTTACTAATGGTGTAGCTTATTTATTTAAAGCCAATAAAGTAAAACAAAAAACGAAATTAATCTTGAAATTTAAAATTGAATTATATATTTTCAAGGTAACTGGTATTCGTGGTTATGGAACAGTAAGTGGCCCTGGACAAGTCACTGTAAAAAAAGAAGATGGCTCAAATGAAACTCTTAAAGCTAAAAATGTTCTATTAGCTGTTGGTTCTGAAGTAACACCATTTCCAGGTATTAATGTAAGTAGATTTTTTTAATTTAATTTAATTTATATAAATTATATCAATTGTTTTCTTTCAACTACAAAAAAACCATAGATTGATGAAGAAACTATTGTTTCATCCACTGGCGCTCTTTCACTTAAACAAGTACCTAAAAAAATGGTTTTAATTGGTGCTGGTGTTATTGGACTTGAATTAGTATGTTCTTTAAAATATTTCTATATTAAATTCAATTTATTTCTATATATATGTATATAATAGGGTTCTGTATGGAGTCGTTTAGGTGCAGATGTAACATGTGTAGAATTTTTATCTCATATTGGTGGTATTGGTATTGACATGGAAATAAGTAAAGCTTTTCAAAAAATTCTAACAAAACAAGGTCTCAAATTTAAACTTGATACAAAAGTAACTGGAGCAGAAAAATCTAATGGAAATATTCGTGTTAATGTTGAAGGAGCTAAAGGTGGTAATAATGAAGCAGTATGTATACATTTTCTATCTTTTTCTTCTTTATTTAATGTTTATTTTAAATAAAAATAGCTTGATTGTGACACTTTACTTGTATGTATTGGTCGACGACCTTATACAAAAGATCTTGGACTTGAAAGTGCTGGTAAAAAAATTTGATATATGAAATTATAATTAGTATTTCATATATATTTTTTTCTTTTTAATTTAGGTATTAAATTAGATCAACGTGGACGTATTGAAGTTGATAAAAATTTTCAAACATCATGCAAAGGTGTATATGCTATAGGTGATTGTATTCAAGGACCTATGTTAGCACATAAAGCTGAAGATGAAGGAATTGTTTGTGTAGAAGGTATTGTTTCGGGTCATGAACCACATATAGATTATAATTGTGTACCAAGTGTTATATATACATCACCTGAAGTATCATGGGTTGGCAAAGCTGAAGAACAATTAAAACAAGAAGGAATTAAATATAAAATTGGCAGATTTCCTATGAGTGCTAATAGTCGTGCTAAAACAATAAATGAAGCTGAAGGTTTTGTTAAAGTATTATCAGACGCAAAAACTGATCGAATACTTGGAGTACATATGATTAATTCAGTATGTTTTTTAAATTTTTACTTTATTAAGATTATGTATATTTTTTTTTTCTAGGTCGCTGGTGAATTGATTAATGAAGCAGCCCTAGCTATGGAATATGGCGCATCATGTGAAGATGTTGCACGTGTTTGTCATGCTCATCCAGTAAGTTTTTTTCATTTTGTTTTTATCATTTAGTTTAATCAATAATTTATATTTTAGACATGGTCGGAGTCATTGAAAGAAGCTAATCTTCAGGCGTCTTTTGGTAAAGCAATTAATTTCATCTAATATCATTAGTGCGACATTGAAAGACAACACTGTTTTATTTTAGTTATATTTGTTTGTGTAATTTTAGTTTATTATTATTTTTCTCTCTCTATCTCACTCTCTCTCTCTTTTTGTCATTCATATGCTGCATCTTTTTCTTTCATAAAACTTTCTCAAACTCATGCACTTATAATAAACAAAACGAACAGTGTTTATATGAACAATTTATTGACAACTATGATGAAAGAAATTCTGTGTTTATATTATCAATGAAAAATATCATATTTTATTTAATTGTATGTGTAATAATCGAAGATGCAATTTGCCCAATAGACTTACAAGCAGATTGCTTGATAATAATTTTCTTTTTTTGACGGTCAAGTTGGATATAAGAAGGGTATACTTTTAATGATTAAATATTGTTTGACTTCATATTTGAACAATGAATAACACTGTGTAAAAGATGAAAAGTTTGAAAAATCCTAGAATTTGATGTTTCTGAATCAAACTTTGGCATTCTGTATACCTGAAAAGAAATATGGCTATTTGAATTCTGTAATGTCTTAGAAACCGGTGGCGCATAATGAATGACTCTCAATTATCAAACCTTGATTTAAACATTTTTTTTTCAAAAAGATCCAATGAACATGACTATGCAAAAGAATAACTGGAATACGATATTTTTGGTCAACATTGCTGTACCTTCAACAAGTTCACTTTCAAAGCCTATTTCTCTTTTCTACAAAAGTCATTATTTCTTTTCCTATGACTAAACACGTCTTAGACCATTCTAATGCAAGTATCCTATTTGTTTTAGACATAATCTTTCGAACATACTTGAAGAAAGATCTGTAGAAAAGTTTGTCAAATATCAATGGTGAATTCTCTAATCATTGACAATCCTTCTTTTCTTTGGTAATAATTCTCAATCTGCACTAGCAGTATACTTGATTTAATCAATTCAAAATTTTGCCTACGGAACGATTTACAGTATGTCAAGAAAAACAAACAGTATTCGCTCAAATAATAGAGCTTATTATAATTCACTAAATGACGTAGATACTTTTTTTCTTTTGTATAGAATCAAAAAATGACACAAAACTCTATAACTCACAATAGTAGCTTGAAAGTAGAAGAATCTCTTTAGAATATAACATTGTTGGTTGGATATTGTTTTCTAGTTATCTTTTTTGCAAAATTATTTTCACTGAATTTTCTATACAGTTTCATGAACTATCTCTTTCTAACAAAAAACTTTCCACTCAAACGATTGTTGTTTTTTGGAACCAAACTGAACGGAGTCAAAACTTATAATAAGCTAACTAATTGACAATGTGTCCTGTAAATTATGATAACTGTATCAATGCATTTAACGCTATTACTGATCAAGCTTAATTTAATTTGAAAGAAGGAACCAGTATGTTTTTATTTTTTGAAAAATAAAGTTTATCAACATTGTACAAATGGTAGTACTTTGACTACAACACTATAATTAGGTTTTTTGTTTGATATCAAAACAATATGTACTATTGTTTCTCAATATCTACTCGAATTTTTCACGTTATCATAGGCTTTAAATCATTCATGTCTTTTACCATGACTTTATAAACGGCTTAGCAGAAGCTAATCAATAGGATTTTCGTCAATTGATGAAAGTCCATTGAACTTCCACCAATGTGTGCGTCTTGAACATGAATTAGAGTGACTTGTATCCATTACATTTATAAGCACAAGCATCAAGATATATCTTTCATAACATCTGGCATATATCTTACATAAATACTACATTCATACTGTTCTGCGATAATTGGTGAGAGCTTACAAGACTCTCGTCAAACAGTTGACGAGAGTTCAGTAGACTTACGTCAATTATTAGCGGAAGTCTTATTGTCAAAGACAGCCATCACTTACAAAATACTTGCTTTAATATATGTTTAGGAAAAGAAAGCAAAGAGCCAATTTCAATCACAGATGAGCTATTAAATGCTGTAACGTGTTTGTTTCCGAGTCTATTAAAGTTTTCGAACAATCATGAATGGCCTACTTTGCAAGAATGCGCTGATAATTCGATTATTTTGAAACGTGTCAAATAAAATGCTTACAAAGGAATTATGAAAGATCTAGATGATCTGAAGCTAATAATACCTCGAAAAGTTTGAGTAAATATTAATAAAAAATAGTACATATTGGTTTTTGTTATCAAACAAAAGCTTAATTTTAGTGTTCTAACCAAAATATTATCTTTTCTGCAGTATTGATGAACTTCATTTTTAAAAACAAAACACATACTAATTCCTTCTTTCAAATAGAAACGAATTTTGGATTAACACATTCGACCCGATTCGATTTTCTCAGAAAATTTTTTTGAGATGTTCATTTTCATGGACAGTTAACTACTAATAAATGTATTTAATGATCTTTTCGTTATCTTCTGCTGATTATTTGTCATTCTCTTCTTTATATCACTACATAATGAGTAATTTTTTTCTGACCAACTGAATAATCGCTCAAGTTACTTTTTCGTTCTTTTTCATATTATACGAAGCATACAAACTCGCTGATCACAAGCTCGAAGAAAAAGAAGGATCTACGCGCAATGTCGGCAGACGATGCACTGGCTGCTATGCGAAGGGACGAGCCCAACAGTCAAGAGAAGCCAGCCGTGCGGCAGCAAAGAAAGTAAAAGCTTTCTGTTCTGACTGTGATAAATTTTTTTGTCTTGTGTGTTTTAATGATAAGCATTATGCTATGGAGTAAAGAACTCAAATAAAGTACTAAAGGCAGCACAGTTGACTTCTTATATTTAGCCTCCTACTTAAGAAAAAAGCAAAAGAAAATGCTTTTCTATACAGTTTCTCGTTAAACTATAGCGTAACCCACTGGTGGGCTACATCGGGTAGAATGTGTTAAACTTTATCAGTAGTGGCCTTCAATGCACTTATTAAGTGATCATGACTTTTAAGATACTCTCTATTAAAATATCAGTTTTAGATGAGATTGGTTCACGTTTTTCTAGAACCGAACCGATTTCATCTCTCCGAGAAAATTACAACAATACTGACAGAATCATTCTTTATGAGCCGTCAGTTGCATGACAAAAGAAGAAAATGAGCGAAAAATATCATGTATCATGGTTACCATTAATGGTAATAATTAGATATAACGGTGAAGGAGAATTATCGTGACTTAAACTCTGTCACACTCTTCCAGACTGAAGGAGGAGATTTAATTAATAGTTATATTATGACGTCAATAGTTTAGAATGTTTCCAGACTAATAAATAACACTTTGTTTCTTATTTTTCTTCTTGCTCCATTGAAGAATAAATTATTGATGAAGTATTTTTCTGTTTCTGTTTATTCACTGAAATGCCATATGTTCGCGTAACGCCAATCGCTTCTTCTATCGAGTTCATTTTTTAGTTTCTTAGTAAAACTATTTAACTATTGAAGAACTTTTTTTAAAATAAAAGTCAAAGAGTTACCACGAAGAATAGAAGAAAAAAAACAATATTGATTAAATCGGTCCAATTGTATCAAGTCAACTTTGCCACTTTTATTTTCACTATATTCATATTGAACAAAGGTAGACGCGAGAAAAACTTCAAATTTTAACAAAAAATTCTATTGAACAAAATTACATTCTTTTCCGATTTATTTAGTAATTCTTCATAATAGAAATTTCGAAAAAAAAATGTCAACTAACTTTCATTTACTTTGTTGAATTGATTTAACAAAAAAAAAATAAATAGAACGATACAAGTTCTGTAGAAAAAAACATCTCATAGTATTTTATTTGTAAATCATGCATAGCCTTGAAGAATACCATATTTCTGACAAAAAAAAATTACCTTGACAATTTCCTCAAGGTTATTTTCAGAAAAATATAATTGTATTGCAAACAAAGCGATTTCCAATATTTATTTCTTATCGTATATTCTTAGCAATTCGATCCTTGTAATTCAACTATTAATAAATATTTAAATAAAAAGATTCTTTGTCGATAGTTTCTTTGTTAACAACTTAATCTCTATTGACCTATTAATGAGTTACTTTCATAAATACATTCATTTCATTTGACATAAATCTTTGAAGTACACCTGTAGAAGAGAAATATTCATACCCCAAATTCATCTATTTCTTTCATTTGTTATAAGAAAATGAAGAAATATTGTTCTTGACTACTTTGTTTCTTGAAGCACTTTTTTTTGTCATAATTACCAATAGGAGAAAGTCGACAATGAAATTTTGATTTAACTTTTTTTAAGTAAAGTATTAAAAAACAGTAATTTATGATGACAAGTTGAATCCTTTTCAAGGACAAGAACAAATAAATGATAAAAACTCAATTGTTATCGTAGAAAAAAAAAATGAGTGATCGATAAGAACACCTAGGTATAACTAAAATGAGTTTTGTGCTTAAAGATATTATATCAATTTGATGTGAAACAGTTCGATGTAATTATATTAACAGAAAACATATTAGACAAGTTATATCATTTGTTTTTAAATAGCTGTATATTCCGTAACATATAAAAATTTATTATCATTGAAAAAGTACTAGCAATCGATTCTATAGCAGTAATAAAGCTTGGGTAGAAATTTTTTTTTTAATAGTGAATGATAAATAATAGTCACATCTCCTTTTTTTTTTGTTGAAAACCTAATTAAAAACAGACATACACGCATATGTTGTCTATTGTTATTGCGCAGCATGAAAGCAAAACACACAATCAAAATCAATCTCTAGTATATTTATATTATTCTTTTAAATTCCATTCATAGTACTTTTTGTCATATTCATTGAAATAACGTCTTCTTGTATCTTTGTTCTCTTACTAAATTTAATCATATGTGGACACTCAAGTCGTATGGAGTGATAATTGTGTTTGTTTGATCCTTATGATTCGAAACTCTATAACGCCCTTGTGTCGATCACCGGGCGTGAGTGAAAGACAGAGAACATACGTCTCACTCTCTCCCATTCTTGTTGTATATAAAACTTTTATTCTTGTCGTTGCTGCTCTCCAAAAATTGTTGAGATGCAAGGAATAGTTGCAAACAGCGAGAGAAATAGCGATACTATTAAAAGACAAGCTGTCAGTTTAAAAAAGAAAAACGAGGAACAGGCGCTGATAAGTATTCATAACCTACGCTATTACAAGAAAACAGACAAACACTTTTTTTTTCTTCACTTTTTTCTTTAAACTGACAAAGCCTTATTAAAAAAAAATTACTTTTTACTGATGATGACATTTTATTGTTAAATATAATAATGGCATTGAATTATGAAACTTTAATACGAGCTGCTAGTAAACCACCAGATCAACGGACAACAACTGAAATAACAGATTTTATATTTCCATGGCTTAAACAATCATTAAAAAAGAAACAAGGAATATTTCAAAAAATTTCTGATGGTAAAATTTTGATATTGTTTGTATCTTTCTTTTTTCTAAAAATAAATTCTTGTTGAAGATGTTATTCATGATATATGTAAAACAATTATGTTGGAACGACGTCCAGCATGGGACGTCGTTATTCGTCAAGGAGATCCAGGAGATACGTGAGTTATTGAAATATTTTCTTGATTTCAAATTTATTTAATAGAACTATTTAAATAGATTCTACATTATTTTACAAGGTTCAGTAAATATTTATCGTTTTGATGAAGATGGTCCAAAACAAGCTCCACTTGCCTTTGATACTATAAAAGAATTTTCACAACTCGATCATGATCCTGATAAACGTGAAGAACTTATAGCACAAGAATTTGGTAATTATATTGTTACTTTAGGTAAGAATAAAAAAAAATCTATTTGGAGAATCATTTATTTTTCTTCTAAATATAATAATAATAATCAATTCAGAAGGAAACTGTCTTGCTTATAAAGAACGTAAGAAAAATATGATTTGCTTAACAAAAAAATAAAAATAAATAATTGCTATTTTTCTGTGATTATGATGGAAAATTGATTAAGAAATAGTTTTCTTTTATTATTGATTACTTAAAATCTATGATATCCTAATTGGTTTTAGTTGGTGGTTTTGATTTCGGTGAACGTGCACTTGTAACAAATGAACCACGAAGTGCAACAGTTATGACAATTACACCAACGGATTTATTAGTTGTTGATCGAGAAGTTTTTAATCGGTATGTAAAGATTTGAATTGAATTGATTTTAATACAATTTAATTCTGCTTGTTTCTTTTTTGTCTTTGTTAAATAAAAAGAACACTTAAAGCAGCACATGAAAAAGAATTACAAGAAAAAACTGAATTTATCAATCGATGTCCATTATTTTCTTCATGGTCACCAAGACTTAAACGTCTTGTTAGTCTTAGTTTAGAACGAGGTAGATTTTCTTATGATAGTGCACTTTATAAACAAGGTGCACGAGCTGATGCTGTTTACTTTATTTGGAGGTAAAAAAAATTTTAAAAAAATTGATCTTTTCTCAAAAAGAAAAATATAATCTAATTTTCATTAATTTAGTGGTGAAGTTAAAATAAGTATGGATCCATTATTACATTGGTTACAATATCCATATCTTCTTCCACAATCAGATCCTATGAGACAGTAGATCTATTTTTATTTTTTATTTTTTCAAGTTAACTTAATTTAATTATATAATAGACGTGCTCTTGACTTATTTTTGCCAATGCTTCAACCATCTGAACCATCCAATGTTCATATTCCATCAACAGTAAATATCAATAGTCATAGAGAAAGTTATGCTATAAAACGACGTCATATGACATTTGCTCAAGCTGAAAAAGAACGTGCTCAACGAATATTACAGTTAGCTCTATTAGGTGCAGGTGATATTATTGGTCTTGAATCTTATGTAGGTGATTTAGCAACACATGTTAATTCAGCTCGATGTACAGCTCCATGTGATTTGTTTTATATATTAAAACATAATTTTGTTCGTTTACAAAAACGTCATGGTGCACAAGGTTTAAGTGAACGTTTACGTGAAATGGTTGTTCTTTCATTACAAGCATATCCATTACGTATTATGGATTTACCATTATTTACTGCTTTAATGAAAAGACAATTAGCACCACCAATTACTGATGAACAAGCACAATATCGTAGTAAACAATCATGGCTTTTAAATTTAAATAATTCATCTCATTCGGTTTGGTTTCTCTTTTATTTTTATTTTTATTTATATTTCTTTTTATTTTGTTATCATTGAATAAATTATAGCATACACGTCGATCAGGTACAACTCTATATGGAAATGGTAAAGATCGTTTACAAGGAACTACAACTAATTTTCGAACAGATACACGTTCATCTCGACATAGACGATTGGGACATGCAGCTACAATACAATATTTAACAAATGATCAAGTTCATGTTGAAAAAATTGAAGATCGTCTTAAAAAATGGCATGCAGAAATGGGCGATGATGCAAAAACACAAATAAGACCATTAACACGATTTGTATGTTTAATTATTTTCCTTGTTGTGATAAGTTTAAACATTTATAATCAAAATTTATCTAATTATAAAATATGGATCGATTCTTCTAACCTAATCCTTTCAGATACTCCTATATATAATTACCTCAATAGAGAAAAAAAAAATTTTATAAGAAGAGCTGCAATCATCACATATTTTTGTTGTACTTTAAATTATTGATCTTTTTATATTTTGATCATAGAACATTGCATGCACAACTACAAATAATATAATACGAACACCATCGCATGAAAAACTTGAAGTTCAACCAAATTCTACTGTTGTTTCACCAAGGTATGACTCAAATTATTGTATACACTCTTTTCACATAAATATAATGAAATTCAGCAACTAGTTTTGTTGTTATTCATAAATATAAATAGACGATCTACATCGAAATTGTTATTAAGAAGTCAAACTGTAAGTTCTTCCCATATGATGAGGAATGCGATTTTGCGGCAGAATCATTTTCTTGAAAAAAAAATTGTCAAGAAATCAATATATACGCACGTGTAGTCTTGTAGTGGTATAAACATGGTAGCAGTATAGTGATATAGTTCTTATACATATATACAGCTTTATCACTATTACCGCTCATACCACTATACCGCTATCTCGCTCATACCGCTATATCGGTGTATGGATAAACTGGTATACCGCTATACCACTATACCGCTTATTTTTCGATATCATTGTACCGCTATATCACTTACGCTGCTATACCGCTTGCACCTCTTATATTTTCACTGTTTTTATTTTTGGAAATGTTTCATTTTTTATCTGAATTTGTCGCAAAATCAAATTCCTCATGAGCTTAGTTTCCTATATCACATACACACACATATATATATGTATATATAGCCGAATAGCTTATATTCATACACATACTTGCATCTGACAAACTTCATATACATGTTTTATTCTTTCCCTTTCCTTATATGTTTTATTAATAATATATAGCCGAGTTTTCTATTTTGATCAAAATAGTATATCCGGTAGTGGTGATGAATCGATTGTTCCTGTGGAACAACTTCTTGTAAATCTAGGAAATACCTTAGACAAGCCAAAATCTACATATGCTACCGTAAGTTTTTGATTTAATATCATGAAAAAATAAAATAAAATAAATTTATTTTCAGAATAGTTCTTCGTATTCTTCAAAAATTAGTTTACCTCCCATACATATTTATTCAGTACAAGAACAATATGAAGATCTACGAGATACTTTAAAACAAGCATGGAAAAGTTTTCACAAGCGATCTATTCCAACAATTAAATAATATATATATTTTTTTTCTTTTAATTTTTTTGCATTTTTCTTTCTAAGAATAAAAGCACTAATGTGGTGATTACATTGTGCAAATTTAAATAATTATTTCTAAAAATAAAAGAAAAATTGGAAAACTAATATATAAATGAATGCCACTGCATTCTAAATTTTTTTCGTTCTGTTTCTTTTCTCTTATAGTTTCACTTCTCTCACTTTTTTATGCTTGTTTAACGGGTCACTATTCAAAAGGAAAAAGAAATATTGACACAAGAATGGTAAAAATGAAAGCTAGTTACGTGTGTAACGCAAAACACATACAAATTCACGTTTTTCTTTTTCTTGATTCTCTCAGTTTGATTTCACTCAGTTGCACGTTCGAATGCAATGAGTATCGTTTCAACGTGCGATACTCTATATAATAAAGTCACATATATAGTTACGCTCAATGACTTTAAATCCAATGGAAATATTCGATAAACATATAGGTTCGATTACAATGCGAGTACGTAAAAAAAAAGCATGATCTTCTATACTTAATAATTGTCTATATTGAAAAAATAATAGCCACATGCCGGTCGATGGTTGGCAATTTTGATTGGTAGTGTATGTATCCTCGTATTAATTATCCTTCGTCAACCAACGAAACCTATTGAGGACAATGTGAATAGTGACATTGCAACAAAATTAAATGAAGAAGCATCAGTAATAAATATATACTTTTTAGTTTGTTCTTATTTTTAATACTCTAATTGATATATTCAGAAAAGTCGTTGGCCGATACAACGTGCACAAGCATGGTATACTTCTCAGCCATGGTTACTCGGTGCTAATTATTTACCATCAACATCTGTCAATGTTCTTGAAATGTGGCAAGATACATTTGATGAAATAACAATCAAACGTGAACTTGAATGGGCAAATAAACGATTACGAATGAATTCATTACGAGTTTTTCTTCATATACTTGTATGGAGAGAAAATCCAAAAAAATTTTTTGAACGCCTAGATACATTTCTTGATATTTCAAATAAGAATAATATAAAAATTATGCTAGTTCTATTTGATGAATGCTGGCAAGCTGAACCACATTTAGGCAAACAACCAGAACCTATACCAGGTGTACATAATTCACAATGGGTTAGATGTCCTGGTCAATCGATGGTGCTAAATAAAACAAGTTGGCCAATACTTAGACAGTAAATTAAAGAAATTAAAATTTATTATTATATAAAGAAAAAAAACGTATATATATATATATATTTAGATATACAATAGATGTTATTACTCGTTATAAATCTGATGAACGTGTTTTTGTATGGGATCTATATAATGAACCTGAATGTAGTAAACAGGTGGAGATTATCTTACCTTTACTTCATTATATACACAAAGCTGCTCGATCAGTTCCCGATGTTCAACAACCAATGACTATTGGCATAGCCACATGGCCATTGACAACACAATTAGCATTATTTGAATTATCGATTTCAGACGTCATATCATTTCATTCATATCGTCCATTAGCAGATCTTATACAAAATATAACTAATTTACGTCAAGTTCAACCAGGTCGACCTATTCTTTGTACAGAATGGCTTGCACGTCCATTTGGATCAACATTATTTACACATTTAGATTATTTTAAAAGTGAAAAAATCGGTGCAATACAATGGGGTCTTGTAGCTGGTCGATCTCAAACATATTATCAATGGAGATCACCAGAAAATGCACCAATGCCACGAGTATGGTTTCATGATGTTTTATATCCAAATGGAACAGCATTTAGTCATCTAGAAGAAAAACTTTATTTTGAAATGAATCATTGAAAAATCTTAACAAAATAAAAATGAACGAAAACTTTTTCAATTATAAATATTTATAGAATTTAAATATGAAACATTTTCTTTATTATGTTATTTCATAAAAGATATTGAAGAAAATACACATGAGACTATCTGTGAAATGAGATAGTTTTCTAGAAATTTGATTCTCAATATGTAGGAATGAGATTTTGTTGAGATGATTATGCTAATAATAGCAGAGACAATCAACAAGTGAAATTTTCTTGATATGTCTGCAAATCGAAAGAGGAGACATGATAATGTTTATCACCTTACTTTTAGTATCTTTGTTGAATATAAGACTATAAAAATGTCGTTGTTTTTGTAGCAGTTTGAAACGATTATAAAGTAAGATAACCTTGTTTAAAATGATTTAGAAGAGAACAGAATGAAATCTATGCATTCTTTAATCTTTAGCTTATGATCTTTATTATTAAAAAAAAATATATTGTTGTTTTTTACCCTTGAAAAGAGAAAAAATACACAAGAACAACATATCTATTATATTAGTAACTAATAGTTAAATTTGCATCATTATAAATATATGTTCCATTGGATATAAAAGAAATAGAAAAATAGGCGAACTTCATGATCACTTTTTAAACTTATAGAACTTCAATAGTCACGGAAATCGCCGAGTAATATTAGCCTTTCTATTATTTTCTACTGGAAGTGACTATTAAAAATTACTGAATGACAATATTCTAGTTTACAAGTCGTTTTTCACTGTTGTTTCTCGTATCTCATCATCTCAGAGTCAATATAGTAAAAGAAACTGAGTTCAAAAAATGTCGAGTATAATGACGTTTCGATTAATAAACATCTAGTTTCTCAAATGATTTTACGATTCCTGTTATGCAGTCGCATCGTTTTCTTTTCTTTATGCATAATATATTGTTAACTGTTCCGTAATTTGTTTTTTCGTAAATTGAATCATGCTGTATTTATTTCGAGTACATACGAATAAAAACGTTATCTTCTATACGATAATATACTAGCTGTGTAGCTACGACGTCTATGAACATTTGTGGTAGCTATAGAATGTATCTACTATAGCTTTCAAAAAAAATGTCTGTTATGCAGAAAAATGAAAGTCTATCAATAAATAATGATTGATTTCAAAAAGACTGATTATTCAAGATTCTAATTAAAATTAATAACCGAAAAAATAGCTTAAGCTTAATAGTCACTCAAGCATATGTTATTTGAATTAAACTTAGGCATTTGTTTCATCGACTGAGAAACAACTGCGATGCATAAAGACTGAGTTGATTGTCATAAATTATTGATGCAGTAAAATTAATAAGAAACTACATTCATTCATGAGAATAAATACTTTTAAAATGTTTTTATAAAACGATTTTTATCGAACGTTATTTATGACCCATATATTACTCAAAGAAATGCTTGTGAGTAGTAGAAAATAAGAATTTGATTCACTATTCTTAAGTATTCTTGTTAAAATTTCAAAAGAAAAACATGATATTGAAATAGATTTGCTGTGTACTCGTGGAAATTTTTTTATTTCTGTTTTAAATTAATTGAAAGAACCAACGAGAAAAATAGATTAATTTGTATTATGCGGATTTATGGCATATTGAATTATAGTCAAGTGAGATCAAAAGTGAATATACAACCTTGTTAGATAATACGAGAAACTCAAAAAAAGGGATACATCACAATGAAGATTAAACATCGTTCTATAATAATAATTTTTATTGTATTACTTCTTATCAAAATAAGAACTCTTCAATGTTGTAGAACTTCATCGAGAAGTATTAAATAAAAGCAAGAGTAACAAAATATAGCATGTAGGCAATATTGTCACAAATTTATTTCACTCTGCATTTATTTATCCATAACTTATGAGGGAGCATATGCAATTATCGAACATCGTTCGACTTTATATTATTGTTGAGAGTAGTTCCGTGTAAGACTAAGAAAATTTATAAGCTTTCGTATTCATCGTCTACGGATGCAGAGCTATAGCCGTTTTACTGGTATTTTTATTGAGAGCAAAGCATTTTCGAAAAATTTTGATCTGAAATTTTGCTTATAGATAGATTTAATAATCATTAGATAACTTAAAAAGTTTCAATTGAAACACACATGTTTTTCTCGAAGTATTCAATTTCGAAAAAAAAACAGCCGCATTTCATACAAAGATACAATAGTTCAGTCTACTTCGAAATTGAATATTTCGAGAAAGACATGTTCGTTTTCGTCAGAAATTTCGCAAATTTCTAAAGATTACCAAATGTATTCATGAGCAAAAACATCTGATCAAAGTTCTTTGTTTTAGGTTTTTCCAAAATGCTCGTTTTCAACACAAATTTGCACATAAACCCCATAAGTCTGCATCAGTAGGCAATGGATATAAATTCTTTTAATTTTACTGGGAACGAGTCTCAACAGTTGAGTATATTGTTTAATTTTGTCCTATAAGAGAGTATTTAGATTATTTATGTTTGTACCTAGAGTGATTGTTTGTTTTATTGATTTATATATTAATAATATTGAGAATGATGGACCATTTTTAATTATTCGATGTATTTTCTTGTAATTTGTTTAACAAAAAATTTGTTAAGGAGCTACCGGGTCTTCATTTTTTTGGACTTACTGGATTTAACTAGATTAATCTTTTGGATAGCATATCATACATTTGAACTGTACAAAAAACAGACATTATTTCGAAACGTTAGTTTTCACCATCATTTGCTTTCACTATCCCTTTCAGTCAGGTACCTGTTTGCAGCATAGTTTCCACCATGTCGTAATAAGATGTATAACGAGGTTTATAGAAAAGTTCCGAAAAATTAAACTCTGAAAGCTGCTCACGTATTGATCGTATTCATCAGGCTCTTTATCTAAGTTGTACATATGCATTTGCAATTCAAATAAATACAGCGAAAAAAATTATTCATTTTCTTATCACAAACGTCAAGAACAATCGCTAATTTAATCTTAAAACTTGTTAATAATAAGAAAATAAACGCTTTAAGTATACATTCAACATTAGCAATACAAAAGCAAGTTTCAAAAATCTATCTGTCGGATATAAATCCAATTGATCGATAATCAATTGTATATTATTCTATATAATGTTGGAATAGTATAGAATTTTATGAAAAATTAAATCAATCAGCTTTACGAAATACTAATTTAACAAAAAATAATATACTAGACGACAATGCATGAAAAAAGTATTTGAAAGAAATGACGTTTGACTTCATACAATGAACATGTGTGTATCATCATCAGTAGTCTTTTTTTTTAATCTTTTCTTTAATAAGGAGATAATCATGCATTAAGAATGATCATATGTTTTGAAATTTAAATAAATGATTGAATTGATATAATACTTTAATATTGTAAGATATTCAGAATTACGGTTTCAATGTTACTAGGCACGATACGATTTAACAAAGATGATAATAACTTTGATTTCTATGTCTGGTAAATAGAGATGTTCTAAGAAAACGAAAAAAGAATATAAAACAACTATTAATATTTATCTTATTTTAAGAGAGCTTCTTGGATTCAAAATAATGTTTTTATATTTATTCTAAAACATATTTGCTGCAAAAAGAGGCAAATGGATCAACATTTATCCCATGCAGTACTACATTAAATGTTGTTGATGAATATCTTTGAAAATTTAAAACAAAAAAACTTGGAAATTGTTGTTATGATTTTCTAGTATTGTCGCATGTACTATCATCTGAAATTTGAAAGTTATTTTCAAGTATGTTATCACAATGAATCATCAAAGTTCTCATTAATTTGCTCATATTCTAGAGAAAGATGATGAATCGTGTCATCATATCTTTGACTTGTTAACAATACTACTACGATATATAAAGGGTGTTCCAGAAGTCCTGACTTATTCAGTATAATAAATATATCTATAGTAATAAATGTTCTTGTTAAGGTAAAAATTCGACATTATTTTGAAGAATTCAAAACAATCGCTCAAGAAAAAGTCAATGCAATTCATAATGTTTTTCAAACAGATATGCAAGTGAATCGTTTCAACTGTTAACTTCACCAAATAAAAAAAGTAACTAAAATAACTAGATCGTCATGAAATATGAGAGGTTTTGTAGCTCATATTGACAGATAATAAGGTGAAAGAGAATGCGTTTTTTTCTTAAAGCTGATCATTTTTGAGAGCTACTGTCTATGAAATAAACCTCAAATGAATCTATAGAAATAGATGTAAATCGTTTGAACTGTTCTTCGACCTATTGGCATTCTTTACTTTTGATTGAGCATTTGGAACATGTTTTAGAATGAAGCATTCAGATGTAAATTATCATTCTTCTCTTCATGGTACCGTATCCAATATTAATATAATAATATCAAGCCATAAAAAGTCAAAAACATTACTTGCATATCGAAAAAAAAGATGTTTATTCTCTCATATTGTATATGCATATCGATCTATTTGTATTGTTAAAGATAATACACGTTTAATATTAGAATTATTACTTTATGAATGTGTTGTTAAAAAATTAGCTTTATCTCTTTCAGTACTTGTCTTTCTTGAAGATGCAGTACTTTGAAGAATAGACATACGCACATTGTATCATGTATACAGAATAGAAACAAAACCTATTGATGCAGCACATGATCAATATATTGAAATGATGGCGTATTGCTCTTGTATAGTAGTAACATTATTACTATGACACAAAACGGCTAACTTTCCTTCTAATATTAGCCATCTCATATTGTTATCGCCATCTATAATTGTACAAATATTGAAATAAACAATAAAATATTTTGAAATTCATTGACTTAAAATCTATACAAATAATAAAATCTACATTTTATTATTTAATATGTAGAACGACATCTATTTATTTATTCTTATTTCCTCCATTGATTGAATTGTCTATGAAAATTATGATGAATGGTCGCCATTTTGTTTATTTGTTTTATCTTTGTTCTCACCGTCATTAACTCTTGTCATTCCCATTCAT